CTATAGAAATTAAACAGCAATAGTTTCAATACATGTCGAGGTGCAACTTTTCTATCAACGTACCACATTCTTGAAGCTATGTGTTGAGTTCACGAATACCAGGATTGGCATCGAAGATAAAACAAAGTGACTAACAGTCATCATTCGCTCTTGGATCGCCATTTGATTCCAGAATACCGCGAAGAAACATGTAGTAACGCTGCGGATGGTGAGGTAAAACATCACAATCGCAACCGGAGCGTCACTGTAGCGTTTCAGTTCTTTCTGAAAATCATAGAGCAGCAGGATCTTTTTCTTCACTCCATCGAAGTTAAAATCACTCCATCCTGACGTATTTTTACAAGGTGACGACTGTGAATTAGTTATCATCTATTTCGATCCACTCTCGTAATCCCCGACAAATTTTGACGCATTTTCACCGATGGATCTACTTTTTTCAGTAATTAAGACATTTTGAGAAGCGAACAGGAGTTTTTGGTCTGCAGCACTTGTTTTCTCGTACTCATGAGCAACTTGGGTGAGCAAATTTTTCATTGAAATTGCCATAATTCTCAGAGCAGATGCCCAAATTATCAATAAAATCAGAATTACCAATGAATTCAACGTGGTTGCTGCAAGTAAACTTGTAAAATCTAAAACTGGCATCACTTCAGCGTAAAACCGATAGTACAATCCATCAATCACCAAAGTGCAGATAAAGTATGCAATAATCACAAAATAAAAGTGTCGTTTCTCCCAGACAACGTTGATGGCTAAAGCGTCCGCATATTGAAGTAGTCGAAGAAGTTTATCTGACCCTCTCCTCATGAAAAGGTGCATGGCACAGACAGTGAGACTCGTAGATTTATTGTATATTGAATTCATGGTTTGTAGTGTTCTGATCTCCATCAACCTAGAGCTTGGAATAGCTGATTCGAAGTACAGTTCTCCAAGTAAGACTAACAGAACAATCATTGAACAGAAAATGCTCCATAATTGCCATTTCTTGTTCGGCATAAAGTCCACTCTCAGATTTCCATCCTGGTCTCTTTCCGATTTTCTGGTGTAGTGCAGAAGTCCTGTTAGGTTGAGAATGGGCACCAGATTGAAGGGCTCACCTGCCTTCAGCAACATAGTACAAAACACTGATTTAAAGTCCACTGGAGCTCGATTGCAATGTTGCGAAAGTTTGAGAGCAATTTGACAGGAAACTCAACCAATTTTAACCAATGAACGCTCAGATTAAGAATAAATATGCCAGTATTTTATACTGAATGTAAAGTCAAAAACAGGGTAGATGTAATTCATTCTATACTGGATGTAAAGAAGAATCACATGATCTCATGAAAAATTGACTTTAAGGTTTTCCAATATTAATTGATGAATGGTATCTTAACATCTCCATCCCAATCGGCAAACGATAAGTTGCTCACTTTTCCGGTAAAATAACATAGTTATCATAACGTACAATAAGTGCATCCGACCATTGTCCTGACTTGAATGCAATTTAACGCAACTGGCGCGAGCAACTGGCGCATTAGTCGTGTGTTTGCGAAGGTTCTTCAGTGCGACACCAGTGCATTAACACCAGAGATAGGACGCTTATTAATAAGATCCCGTGTACATGAACCGATGAGAACAGCTCGTGTTTAACGTGTAAATGTAATATATTCATATTTCCACTGGAGATGCCAAGATCGATGTACTGATTGCTCATAATGGGCACGTTTGAGTCAAGATAAAGTGAATAATATGAATATCATACAAAGCTGTTCACCCATGAGTAAAAAAGTCCATACTCTCTGACATGGGCTCGTTTAGAATGAAGAACGATATTATAGCCTATAATTTCTATTATGTATAATTTCAACAATATTTACAATGGAAAAATATAATATTGACAATGGACTAAAAAATTTACTAGAAAAAAATACTCACGATTCTGTCAATAATCTGGTATGAATAATGTCACACAATCGTTCTTAAGGTAAGTGATAGTAAGTTGAATGATAGCTTCTGAGATTTATTTAATTTATTTAGATGGAACTGTTTATAGATGAATGTTGATCAAACAATTGTTGGTAGACTTGATGGAGTCGGCAATTGTCTCGGCAAAGGAATCAAGGACATCAGGAAATGCGTCATGCTATCGTCATCGGCACCAAAGAGTTGCAGCTAGCTGGTCTTGAACAGATGGAGTGATACTGAAAATAAAAATAAGGGTGCAGTCAAAACCAGGTGAATGAACAAATAACCGTTTCAGCTAAATTTCAAAGTATCATGTGAGATTTTAAAACAAATGGTAAAACTAAAATGTTAACACACCTGAGTTAATTGTGGACTCAGTGCGTTAATACATTTTTTGAAGAGACAGTTCAATGAAAATAGATGAAATCAGATGAAGGAGGATGCTTCAGCTAGGAAATAGTATAGAATAGTTGAAGAGTTTGATTAGGTTAGTATTGAAGGTTAAGTGACGACTTACGCTAGTGACAACACAGCTATTTTCAGTGCCGCCATCTTGAACTTTAAGTAAATTGAATTTTAATTGTTGAAGGTGATTAAGATCACCATTAATAGAATTAATTGAAACTGAAGCATCCAGTTGAAAATAAAGCATAGCAGTTAGCAACTAAACAAAACGAAAGAAACTCTGGCACACAAAATAATAGTAAATAGTACAAAAATAACATGGACGTTTATCAGAAATTTGGTCGGATTCGTCCGTACAAACAATTAAGGGCAGCTGTCGGTCAGATTTGTATCCAAACATGAAAAAAATGTTTGGTTCTTAGCGGCAATTCGTAGACCGACAATAGTGGTGCCAAGTGCAGGGAAGATCTGTCGTTGGGTATCATCAGTCGAACCGGGATTATACATTTAGCCTTTATGATGTTAAATTTTTTACCTTTTGTAGGATGAGACTTGAAAATTTTAGAATTTGCGAAAAACTGCATAGCATTATAGAAATAAGATATTGTGAAAAATCAATATTCATCTCGAATTACTTTGTCCATCTTCGTTGAACGTTTGGTCTTCTCCCAACTCCTGAAGCGTACTATACTATACTATACTACTACAATAGCCATTGATCGAGGCTCAGGAAAGTTTTATGATAAATAAATCCCTAGACAATATTGAGAAATTAAGGTGAATCGATTCGTGTATCAGACACATGACAGTCAGAAAGTACAAGTAGGTCAATAGATTTCTATTCCCAACAAATTAGCAATTATGTTGTCAACAATTATTGCTCCTATGTTTAGCAGCTTTGGGATATTCAATTATTTGTGGAAATCTGAAGTAATGTTGGCGGCAGATTGTAATAGGCTATCAATCGAATTGATATCTCCATTTAAAAAATGGAAAAAAGTTACAAATATGTCGTTGAACTAGTAACATATATTTTTCATCATTTTTCAACAGCACCAGCTCTTCTAATTATTCCAAAGCATTTTAATTAAATGGAGTAAACGCGAGAAGGAATCATTGAATATGACATAATAGGTTCAAAAAAGTTCAACTGGTACAGCGGCATAAACCTTGGACCGCAGACACCGTGAGGGCGAATCGGACTTTCTGAGTCGACTCGACGCACTGAACGCCAATTCGTCTGATATTTCAAAGGCAACTATCTATTTAGGTCATATAAGTATCTTCAATGAAGATAGAATCATCGATGATAGTTCATCCGTTTCATCTTGGATCAGCCGTGGTGTAGACCGAACCCTCGAAGAATCCTTCCGGGAACTTTTACTCTCGATGAAAATCATGAAAAAGAACATCGAATGTTCAGAAGTGATTGATTTGGTTGTTGACTTTTTAGCGTATTTTCTCGTTTATGGAAAAAATGCCCTATTGTGCTAGAAATGTCCGTCCGTCCGTCCGTCCGTCTGTCCGTGACTTCACATTTTCGTCGACGAGAAAATGCGCTCTCTGTCACTCACTGCAGATTACTGAGTTATATTTTTTATTGTTCTATGCGGAAATTTCTGGTTCAGTATAGGAATTAGTGTTTAATTCAAATTTTATCCATAATTACAGATATAAATGAATCAAGTAATATAATTAGGATTATGAGGTGACCCATTTCGTGGTCTGATTTGTGCAACTGGGTTTCCCGTTGGAACATGTCTTTTCTTCTATCCTCATTAAATTGATTGTCGGGTGCTAAGAACATTTGAATACAGTGAACTGTATGCATGACATTGCTTGATGCAGCAGCTGCCAAAATGTGTAGGTTAAGAGACTGGATTATGAGGGTGGGATCTGGCATCATCCCTGCTACGAGGCAACCGCAAATTCTTTTACTTTGTCGTTTTTCGCCAGCAGATCTTTCACTGACTTGGCATTCATTCAAAAGACAAGATCAAATTTTGACCTTCGAAAATCAAGTTATCGCATCGAAATTAATCTACTCTTCAGTGGAATTCAATATCAGCAGTTCAAAAAATTAATTTCTCGATTCATTGGTCTGTAAATCACGTGCCATCGATGTGGCTATGTCGATCCCGAAAAAAAAGTTTTGTGTTTACTTTATATGAAAGATACGAGAATTTAGCTGCTGGATAATGAGATGTCAAGCGCAACATTTGTGTTCGATCCTTCAACGCAGAGAGGTTTATAATTTTATGGCAGACATGCTAAATCTTGTATCTTTCAAAGGGTTGCGCCTTGAATCACTAATCAAATTCAATTGAAGACTTTCATAGGAAAATGAAAACGAAATTTAAAGACTCCTTTTATTTAAAGTAATGGAAGCCTGTAACAATGTTTTCCCTATGTATACGAGTGCGATCAAAGTGTGGAAGAAGAAGTAATAATAATAACTACGAGCTGATAGTTAAAGAACTCCCTGAATTTGAATTATCTACGACTAAACGAATTATAAGAACATGAGTTGAAATATAAGAAAGGTGCAATGGCAGCTCATGGCGACTTTATGATGGAGATACCACAAGCTCAGGCGGGTACTTTATCTCCTTCCTTAATCCACCTGCTCCAAACCTTCAAAGCTAAATTCAGGTTCGTCTTTTTCGTTGTTTCCGAGCGCTGGCTTTCGCACCGTTGACTTTTCGGCGCCGTGAATTTTTTTTCTTCTTCTGTGATGACTTACAGGGCTTCTGTATCCCGGCCTCCACCTCGCTTTGAGCTTCCTTAAAGATCAGGAACGAATCTCTATCGGTGTAAGTCTCACCTACTTGACGACACAAGGGACAGGTCTGCCTGCTCAGAAAAATAACGATGATCAATGTTATGAAAATGATTTATTGATTGGCAAATTTTATAAAATATCGATATCGTAGTTAGTCAAGATTGATCGATGACAATCTAAATGATGATGATCAATGAAAATGATTTATTGATTGGCAAATTTTATAAAATATCGACATCGTAGTTGGTCAAGATTGTTCGATGACAATCTAAATGATGATGATCAATGAAAATGATTTATTGATTGGCAAATTTTATATAATATCGAGATCGTAGTTGGTCAAGATTGTTCGATGACAATCAAAAACTCAATATTGATCAAAAGTGGAAGTTGGTTGTTTGAGAACTTATAGTACTTATACAAAAGATTTCCAGTTTGTTACAAAATGCCCCATGAACATTTTTAAACACGAATTCAGTGTTTTTATCTTAATGTTACAAATTATATTCAAAAAAGTAATGAAAAACATAAACTGTGTCAATCGTTGTCGAAATGGTTTATGTTAACTATTATTCGTTGACTACAATATTCAAGACAATCACGATAAATCGCGAATGTAAATTTCAGAACACATTATGCAAAATTACAAAAATTACTTTAACTAAACTACATATGATAAAAAGCTCTGAATTATGTTATTTAATTTGGGAACTGTCGGGCATTATATGGTATTTCTTGGCTCTCTTTAGCTCTTTCTGAAACAGGCTAATTTTCCGCATTAAGACAAAAATAAAAATAAAAATACAAAAATTAATAACAATATTTAAAAATTCTAAGCCCATTGGTGCAGTACAACTCACCGAGTTTTCCCCCACTCCGAAATGCAAGGCACACAAAAGATATGTGGGCAGCTTGCCAGTACGGCGAAGTTGGTGTTGGGTGAGATCTCTGTTGACAAACACACGGCACACATTTGCTCTTCATCGTACATCGCGATCAAATCTGCCACTGAATTTACGTGCAAAAGTCGAGACCAGAGATCGTGCTTAACTTGACCACCAATTATTCCGGCGAATTTGATGCCCATTTTCATTGCTTCCATAGCACGTAAAACTTGTTCGAAGGAATTTTCAAGTGACTCGGCTGCGACTGGGTCTGCAACGTTGCTGATGTGCCCACGTATCAAGGCAATAACCTGTTCTTTTACTGCTTCAAGCTTCATTTCATGTAATGGGTTGTAGGGGGAACAAGATTCGGCCGACAAATTGGCACAAATGATTTCTAGGATGACATTGAGGATTTGTTCAAGACCTGAATCACTCATTTCTTTCACAACAACTCGGGAATTAGATTCGAATGTGTAAAAAAATGCGGATGATAAAGCGAGCTGAATAGCATACAGAATATTTAACGATGAATTTAGCTGAGTGTTAAATGCGTTTCGTATAACCGGAAGATCAAACCGGAGAAAATCTAATTTTTTCAGTATATCCTTTTCAGTTTCATTATATTCATCACAGACGGTATAGTTTGAATCGGATGCAGTTATCCCATTTTCACCGCTATTAATTGAGTCGATGATCGAGATATTGTCGAGTTGTCTGGTGATGCATTGAATATTACAATCGGGAACACTAGCGTCTCTATTGATAGGTAGAACATTATTATCTCGTTCACTTGTGTTCGCATCACGAGGTTCCGTATTAACTGAAAACTCAGCAGGAGAATTCACTATCACTGCACCGGCCTCTAACTGATCAGCAGACGATATTGACTCAGACGCCGCGTTGGCTGAGTTGAACACGTTCGACATTGTGCGCTAAGCTCACAAACTTCAAGAACTAACGAATGAGGAAACACACTTAGATAAAGACGCGAGCACTGCACCAAAGCTTTCTCTCTGAGAAGCTACAGCGAACTGAAACATCCTATTTACAAATGACCAATCTTCGCCTCCTAAGCCCGCCCCTTCGTATTCTTTGTTCCAAGATCCACCCCGATAACAAGTTGCCTTTTTCCCACAATGCATTTAGGCCCCATAACACGTGTATATGACCTTTTTTATTCATTAGTCTCCAAACGCGCGTATCGAATTAAAGCAGGTCAAATCGACTCGGTAAATCCGGCTGGGTCCACACGGTTTTTGCCAAACTTTGGGCACGCGGTTGAGCTTATTACCACGTTTTTCTTAGCTCGCTTTCGTGTCCGTCTGTCTGTCTGTTTGTGATGATCAAATCTTGCAATCGATATTTCACCAACTTTCCCGCTAGGTAGCGCTCTGAAACTTTTAGGGAAGCTCAGCTCCCGATGACAATACAATAATCAATAATTTGTTGCACGTTTCCAGGCGTATTTATCACTATTATAAACAAATTAATTTTCGAAGTGGAAATTTGTTTTCCTTTAATCGATCGCAGCGCCATTCCCCCTAAAGCGGCAATTTTCAGAATTATTCTTTATAAAAAGGAAATTGAAATTTCGATTGCAAGATTTGATCAGCACAAGCATACAAACTAACATAAAACTAAAAAGTAGAAAATAAAATGTATACAAAAAATTTTTAAAGACCACGTTTTTCATGTGGACTAAAAAATAGGAAATAATTTTTCGGCAGCTACTGATCTCTGTTTGCTTCCATTCTCTTGGTCTTTTGTATTTCAGTTAAAATATTTTACAACATCTAAAACGAAAAACGTGGTGCGCATCTTCACTTATCAAATGTTCAATGAACCATCATATTCATCATATCAAGTAATCACCAAACAATTAAATACATATGACAAAGTTCAAACGCAACAAAGTTTACTTCAGAAAGCATCAACGTACAATAAGTCTACAAATTGCCGCTAAGACCCAAACATTTTTTCAAATTTGGAGTTCAAATCTGACTTACTGACAGCCAGCCATTGTTCGCAGGAGCTATGTATAATCTGTCTATATTATCATAATAAGTTCTGGAAATTTATTGCATCATTTTTGTAGGCATTAAGGATACACGCGATCAAACTCAATCATATGGAACTCATTACAACACTTATTATTATGTAAAGTAATAAACAGGGTCTGGAAATGGATAGAAAACGTCGAACTAATGTAATTTAATAATTTCGAGGATATTATTTTAAAATTGTAAACAGCACATTTATGAAATCTGCGAAAAAATTACGAATAAGTAAGTTTTTTCCACACAGTGCCATTTTTAAATGAGATGTTTAAATCAAAATACTAGATTCAAGCAACCAACAGAATACAACTTCTGCACATTTTTTCGAGAGACTTGTAAAACATAAATTAAAATATTGGCTGTCAACACGGAAATATGTTTAGAGGGCATACATGCATGTTTGTACCGTTCAGGTCTTTTTATTCAAGTAAGAGCAATCGAAGAAAACCTAGAGAAAAATAAAATTATGTTATTTTTTTGTAACATTCTATTCACACCAAAAGTGCGGAGTAACTTCCATTTCTGATGGAACAGACGGGATATTCCATTGAACTGAAGGGATTGTCAGATGATCACAAACAGAAATCTAGATGGACTACTGTCTAGTGATTTTTTACCGACCATATTTCATTATTTTAGGCGATCCACAATACCCTGAAAGTAAGCCAGACCGAAGCGAATTGTACTTTGCCCAATTTAAAATATGCCAATTGATATTACGTACTGTTCGTCCCGAGTCTTCAAAAAAAACTGGCATGTAGGAATGTACCTGAATTATGATATCATGGAGTATGATTCGTGTAAGTATGTCACATCACCATGCTGAAGAAGGTGTGATTTGTATAACTTTGTCATACCAACATACCGGGATGACGAAGTTTGCCATGTATAACTTTGTCACACCAAAATACCTGTATGGCAGAATATGCATTGTATAACTTTGTCACACCAACATACCGGAATGACGGAGTATGCACCTGCATGGCAGTATAACGTAGTTACACTTCTATATGGAACCACACCAGCATGTCGGTATGACGGAGAATGTCGTATAACACGGAGTCACACCACCATGCCGGTGTGAGGCAGTATGTATCATTTCACGAAGTCACACCAGCTTCTCGGCACGTCATCTATAACAGTTTTTTCAGTGACAAATGTCGTATCTCACTTATAATCGGCCGAATATCATGGTTTGAGGCCCTAACTCAAACTAACATCTCTCATTGTAAAAGGCTAGATATGAGAGAGATGATGTCATGTTTGGGGCCGGCAAAACATATCTCTGCCACGAGTTCAACGATACAAACGCAAAATTTTCCACTCTTTCTTTGTTGCAATCAGATTTTCCACTGACTAGACATTCAAAAGCTTACATAGACTAGACAAAATCACTGAATTTGAATATCAAGCCATCGATCGCAAATTAAATGAATTCTAAATTTCAAGGCCGTAATTAAAGCAATGCTTCTTCATAACCAATGCATGAAGATCAACACCGCTGAACTCAATTGTTGTTGTCGTGCACCATTACGAACCAATAATCTCGCTTATTTTCATCATCCAAACGTGTTTCTTCTGCCACTTTCCGCGTCATTTTTCACTGGCTTTTCGATATGAAAACTGATGCATTCGGCATCCACTATCAGCGTTTCTTGAGTTTTAGGTCAGACGTGAGTGACGTCTCCTTTGTTTTCCTTCAATTCCAAGCCCCTCTCTTCATGTCACCGGGAGTATCGGCTTATGGAACAAATTGAAGCAAGAACATTAATTCTACTTTGGTAACAGACATTTTCTCTCGTGTTACTCAGCCACGCGGCCAGTTTGTACAGTGGCAAAGTAATTCAAGATCATTTCGACCATATATAATAAAAATCTTTGACAAATAAATTTTTTTTATTATGTTTAAAACTCAATAGACGTCTAATATATCATCCAGACGATAAAGTTGTAATAGCTTTTAAGCGCTAAATATTGTTCATATCTAGGTTTATTTTTGAATACTGACGTGTTTTTTTGCACGGTTAACCCCTGTTATTATTTGTAACATTCGTTTACTGTATCAGCCTTTAATCCACAACAAGAAGTATCTTAAACAAACAAACAAACAAACAAACAAACAAACGCGAAGCTAAGCTAAGAAAAACGTGTTAATAATAAAATATGGAATCTGCAGAGAGAGAATATGGTTATTTCAGGATACTGGTCAGGTGGACAGTTCGAAGAGATGCTGACGAAAGCCTACATATTGATGCAGTTTCCGTCATCAAAAAAATCAAGATCTTTTACGTGTCAACAAATTTTACTGGAAACTGAATGGAAGTGAATACATATTAACGTCAAAGAATTGTTTTACTCCATACGTAAGGACACAAATCCTACAGTACGATTCAGAGAATGCGGGTATATTTGAAAATCGCAGTATTTTGAGTGTGGTCACGCATTTGTCAATTTTATTTAATGTTATTTTCCAATGGGATCTTAAAATAAATTGAACACTGCTCTCTTGATGTTTATCGTAATTACATATTTCAAAAATTATGTCTAACTTTTATCGAGCCTTCTTTATTTTGAGAAACTCATTTGTTACCTATTCTGTTAAATATTATAACAGAATCATTCCAAAAAAAAATACCAGAAATTTTTTGAAATTTATTTAACACCTAGCTTTTAACAGTATTGCCGAGACTTAAATGTTCTCATGGAAATTTTTTCATGGCTGGCCTTTGATATTTCGAAATTATAACAATCTCAAGCACGAAACAGGCGTTTAAGCCGTAGGCATGACGAAATATCACGACTTATTTTTCCCAGGATCTTATTTAAGGTTTTCGGGGTATATTAACACTAATAGGTCTGGATAATACAATAATTATTATGGCTATAGACAAAACAAAGTAGCAGAAATTGAATCATATAAGTATAAACATATAGATAGACGACATTTCCAAGACTAATTCATATCGAATAATCTATGAACAAAGAATTGGTTGAAGCGAGAAGGTAGCTTACCGAAATTTTTGCTCCTAAGGCACGTGTGACCTGCAGGTAAGAAAAGGAACTTCCTTGTGAACTTGGGGACAAAGAAAACGGTCGATTGAAGGTATGAACAAAAGCTTGACGTAATGCGTCTGTATGTGAAATTGCGGCTACACAGATGAGTAGAAAAAAATGAGAAACAGATAAAACATAATGACGGGGTTTGTTAAGAAAAGTCTGAATCAATTATGCGCTGGTTTGCGGGCACCAATTTTTAACCTCCACACGTGTCGTTGTTTAGGCTGGCTTTTGTACCCAAGTTGACCCCTCAACTTAGACTACTGTTCTCCGGAATTCTCTTACTGAGCTTTAATGTTTGCCCTTGTTTTAGATGCAGCTTC